CTACTAATGAAACACTAAACCTAACCTAACTTATTAATTATAGAAGGAGACTTCTATAATTCTACAATTAAATGTAGTGAATAAGTGGTGATGGTCCATTGGCTTTTTCTTTTGGTCGTCATAAATTAGTATAAAATGCAATTCAATTCAAGGAGCGGTAGTGGGCTCCTTTTTCATTTCTCCCTTTTTTTTGTAGTTGCCTCACCTAGTCATCTCTGACTTTTGTAATCTATGAAAATACAATCTTCGCTAAATGTGTAATTAATAAATTGATGCTCTCCTAAATTGATGCCCTCCCCCGATTGTGGGGTTCTTTTGTGCCACATGGCTCACATTAACTTTGGGTGTGTGTTTTTGTTTGAATATATCAGATTTTATGTAATTTTAAATTGATTAGTTTTAGAATTATGGTATGCTTTATTTTTGTTTAAAAATTTTTAAACACTAATCACTAGTTTGGTGATTGTGAGGTTCCTTGTCATACCTTAATTTTGGGAGTGGGAGTTTATTTGAATATATAGAATTTTATGTAATTTTAAATTGATTAGTTTTAAAATTATGGTATGCTTTATTTTTGTTTAAAAATTTTTAAAAACTAGTCACTAGTTTGGTGATTGTGAGATTCCTTGTCATACTTAATTTTGGGAGTGGGAGTTTGTTTGAATATATAGAATTTTACGTAACTCTAAATTAATTGATCTTAAAATTGTGACGTATTCTGTTTTTATTTAAAAATTAAATTGATGCTCTTAGTAATTTTAAACATTAAGTAGAATAAAATATTTTTCAGTCTAATTTCAATTTTTTTTTGTTAACCTTCTACCTATTTCATTTTTTTTTAATAATCTTCAGTCTAATTTTATTGTCTTTTTATATTTTTTAAAAGAAAACTTCATTGTCTTTGATAAGGATTTTATTACAATAATATTTTTCAAAAAGAAAAATAATGATACTCCATGCGACACGTTCCTATTCTTATCTGAATGCTGAAACATTAGGTGGGTGGGACATTTATAATCTTTTTATTATTTCTATTGATTATATATATATATATATATTTTTTAATTTTGAGTTACATAGTCCAAATAATTTTTTCTCATCATATTTATATATTATTCAACTTAAACTTAGGTAAAGTTGAGTGGCGAAAATAATCTTTTTTTTTCATCTCTGATTCAGTCTCATGTCATTTTTTAATCAAACTAAGGCTCTATTAGCACCCGCAGCCT